ATGTCCAGACAGGTGGACAATTTCACACTGCACCTCCCTGACCTCTGGTTCTTACAATTTTTCTGCCCCCCTCCTTGGTGATTTTCCCTGAGCTTCGGGGAGAAGGGTTATAATACAGATGTCAAAGGAGGCAGTTTTTCTTGGACTATTTCTCTTACCCACCTATTCTCCATCTATATTCTTTCTTTTCTGTTTTTATGCCATGGAGCAAACCCAGGTCCTCACACATGTAAAGTACATGATCTACCCCTTAGCTATGCCCCACATCCAAAATTTTCCATGCAATATCATTTATTATGCTTTATTCATTATGGCTACAACAGTTAAACTGCCTTACCACAATTTTTTTTGAGACAAGCTTTCTTTGTAGCCCCAGATAGCATGAAACTCACTATTTAGATCATGCTAGCCTCTATCTTATAGAGATCTGCGTGCCTCTGCCTCCCAAGTACTGAGACTAAAGTCATGTACCACCATACTTGGCCTAACTGCCTTACCACAATTTATAAAACATAAGTAAAGAAAGTCCTTCTTCCACATAAGACTGCATCTTAGAAATAGGTAAAGGGGTATTATCTGAGATATGTTGAATATAAGGATGATATGACCCAAAAATTGCAAAAAGGATTGTGTTATTTATCACAGGAGCATGGGATGCCCAACTAACAGGTAAAATAGCTGGGCTTGAATACTGAACAGAGAACATAAGGCAGACTTGTATAGGAGGAAGAGCTCAGTGGGATTGGCATGGTTACTGAGCTCACTGTTCAACACTAATGTGTTTTGAATGTCAGCCTGGGTCTCGGGGGCTTTTGTCTTCTTCTTTGTACATACAAACAGTGCAAATATTTATTTTATTTTAACTTATCTTTTTAAAAAAATTTCAATGAAAGATCATGAGTTTAGGGAATTCTATAGAGCCTACAAATAAACTATAACTGCAGAGACCAAGCTCTGACTTCTTGATTGGAGTAACTGCATATAAACCACAGTATTTGATGCTTCATCCATTCATGCTGAAGTCAGAATAGAAATAACTACGTTTTGATAGAAGGTGAGCCCAGAGCAACATGAAGATATCTTTAACTGTAACTGTGTTAGAAATTCTAGCAACACTTTTCTTCCATTTGTGTTTTCAAATGCAGATTATATATATATA